CAAAGAGCAACCTCATGACTGGATATAGAAAAAGAAGTTCCTGTGTATAGAAAAAGATAGCTGGGACCTAGACCAAGTAGAACTACACGACTGTAACTGATACTCAGAACTGCACGCCCCCCCCCCAAAAAAAAACAAAAACAAAACCCCACCCCAAAACACAAGATAACCAAAAATAGCACCAATATAATGCATCCATAGAGACCATCATGACTGGAGATGTATATCACCACTTTTTTTTGCAAGGAGAAAGTTCAGCAGACTCTTGCAGGGTCATCCCAAATAAAGCACATTGCAATCATTTGGTCTGGAGGAGACAGGCTTGAATCCTACAACAAAGTCTCATCATAAGGGACAATTCACAGACTCCTGGTTAACTGTAAAAGATGTATCACGTATTTTTCTTCTAACCCTATATGGGAATCAAAGCAAAGTAATGGGACAGGTATGGTCTCTAGGGCGTGAACCATAATGGCAAAGTGTGGGTATACATGACCTCCAGAGAAGATCAGAAGTTTCTTCCCATTTAAGAAAGGGTGTAACCCAACTTTTCTAGGGCTATTTGGAATTCCTAGAAGTAGAATCATTTTCCTCACTCACTTATTTCCTACCATAGGGCCAATGCATCTACCGTGCTAGAACAACTGAATTTTGGACACAGGTGGATATCAAATAGTATCAGACCTCCAGAAATACCCGAGGATATTACCTCTCTAGTTGTGTATGTAAATCAGTAAGAAAATACAGCTCAGAGGCAGATTTCTACAAATACGTTGCAAAAATTAAAACAATTCATTTTACAGAGATTTTGGTGTTAAACTTCCAAAGTTACTGGACTTCAGCATTCACAGTTATGGGTAATATAAATTGTTTCAGAAGGTAAACACACCAGAGAAGTCTCACGGTAGCAGTAGCTGGAGTTTGTGCACTAAGTTAGCCTCTAGACCTCAGTGACAGTCAAATAGTTTTAGGGATTCCAGTATGGCACAGCAGCAACATAAGTAGTACTTTGAAACAGTATATTAAAAAACAGGAGAGAATGAAAGAAGGTATTGAAATTATGGTCTACAATTTGAGCACCAGTGTTCTTCAGTAATGCAACATTCACGAGGTAGGAAGCAGTAATATGCATGAGCAAACTATAATTATGCTTATAATAGATTTGAAAGCTGAAATAATGCATTTGTATTTCTACTGGACATAGCCACTTGCCTGCAAAGAATATTTTGCAGGCAAATGTGTATTTTTATAATTAATATTTTTATTTCAGCCCATAACACCTCCCCAATTTGTGTTGTGCCATAAATCTTCAGGGAGGACCTGAACACTTGCAACACTTGCCATCTCTTGCTGAATAAGCAAAGTTTAATGCTAGTACTACACTGTTTATTTGTTGCAATTAAGGGACAGCACTTTTATGACAGACTCAGCAAATTCTGCAATAACTTATACCAGGGGTTTTCAACCTTTTTTAAGGAGTGTACCCCTTCT